CCCTCCTTTACCCCCTCCCCCAAACCCCCTTAAAAAAACCCCATTTTTACCCTTTTTCCCCCAATTTGACCAAAAAATTTTTAAAAAATCACCAAAATCACCCATTTTCCCCCAAAATTTCAATATTTTTCCATTTTTTTTCCAATTTTCCCAATTTTTTCCCCATTTTTCCCCCTCCCCCTCCCTCAAACCCCCCTAAAAAAAAAAAAACAACAAAAAACCGGCGTTTTTTAACATTTTTTCCCAAATTTTCCCAAAATCGGGGTTTTTTACCCCAAAATCGAGGTTTTTGCGCGGGTTCCCCGCGGGCCCCGCCCACCGTGGGTCTCCTATTGACGCCTGGGGCAGCGGAACGACGGTCACGGTGTCCAGCGGTGAGTCCCGACCCCAAAATCGCCGTTTTTCCACCCAAAATTCGAATTTTTCACCCTCCAAAACCCCCCCCCCGTTGAAACCGCGATTTTGGCGGGAAAAATCGGGGATTTGGCGGGAAAATCCCGGGGTTCCCCGGCGGGAAAATGGGGGTTTTGGCGGGAAAAAAAAAAAATCTCGGTTTATTTTTCGACCCAAAATTGATATTTTTTTTTTTTTTTTGGGTGAAAATTCGGTGTTTTTGGTTTTTTTTTTTGGGTTGGATTTAAAGGGAAATTTCTGAGGGGTTTGGGGTGAAAAAAGTCGATTTTTAGGGTTTTATTTTGGGCGAAAATTTTGGTTTTTTGGGGGTGAAAATTTGATTTTTTTTGGCTTAAAATTTGATATTTTTTCGGTGAAAATTTTGATTTTTTCGGTTAAAATTTGGGGGTTTTATTCGTTAAAATTTGATTTATTTTTGGGTGGAATTCTGAATTTTTTTTCTGGTTAAAATTTGATTTATTTCGGTTAAAAAATTCGATTTTTTATTCGTTAAAATTTGATTTATTTTGGTAAAAATTCGATTTTTTTCAGTTAAAATTTGATTTTTTTATCCCTTAAAATTTGATTTATTTTGGGTGAAAATTTGATTTTTTTATTCGTTAAAATTTGAAATTTTTGGGGGTTAAAATTTGATTTATTTTGGTAAAAAATTCGATTTTTTTATTCGTTAAAAATTAATATTTTTTTTTGGTGAAAATTTGATATTTTTTGGGTTAAAATTTGATAAATTTTTATTCGTTAAAATCTGATTTAAATTTTTATTCGTTAAAATCTGATTTATTTTGGGTGAAAATTTGACTTTTTTCGGTCCAAACCCGGCGATTTTTTGAGGCAAAAATTTTGACTTTTTAGGGTTATTTTTTAAGTAGAAAAACGCGAATTTTGGGTCGAATTTAAGATTTAAAATTGAATTTTTTGGGGGGAGAATTGAGGGAGGATGGAGGAGGAAATTTGGGGTTAAAAAGTCAAATTTTGGGTAAAAATGTGATTTTTTGGGGGTTAAAAATTGATTTTTTGGGGTTTTTAAAGCGAGTTTTGGGGGAAAATGAGGAAAATTGGGAAATGAGATAAATTTGATATAAATTTGATATAAATTTGATATAAAATTGATATAAAATTGATATAAAATTGAGGGAAAATGGGAAAAAATGGGGAAAAAATGATTAAAAATGGAGAAAAAAATGAGGAAAAATGGAGAAAAATTGAGAAAAAAATTGAGGAAAAAAATGATAAAAAATGGTCAAAAATGGGGAAAAATGGGGAAAAAAATGAGAAAAAAATGAGAAAAAAATGAAATAAAATTGATTAAAATTGATTTAAAAATAGAGAAAAAAATGAGGAAAAATGGAGAAAAAATTGAGAAAAAATTGAGATAAAATAATTTAAAAATTGATATAAAATTGAGGAAAAAATGAGATTAAAAAAGAGAAAAAAATGAGAAAAAAATTGAGAAAAAATGAAATAAAATTGATAAAAAATGATAAAATAAATGGAGAAAAAATGAGGAAAAAAATGTAAAAAATGATTAAAAAACTGAGATAAAATTGAGGAAAAAATGAGATAAAAAAGAGAAAAAATGAGAAAAAAATGAGAAAAAATGGAGAAAATATTGAGATGAAATTAAGATAAAATTTAGATTAAAATGATAAAAAAATCGAGGAAAAATGGAGAAAAAATGAGAATAAAAAGAGATAAAATTGAGGAAAAAAATGATAAAAAATGAGATAAAGTTGAGATAAAATTGAGATAAAATTGAGGAAAAAATGAGATAAAATGGAGAAAAAATGGAGAAAAAATGAGAAAAAAATTGAGATAAAAATGAGATAAAATCGAGAAAAAAATGAGATAAAATTGAGATAAAATGGAGAAAAATTGAGGAAAAAATGATTTAAAA